CGGTTTTTTAAATTTTATTTTTATGTATTTATTTATATTTAACTGTCACTCGTCTTTATACTATTTATAATTAAGATTCTGGAACTGAAGAAAACGTGCGCAGATAATCTTTTCCCCCATACGTCACAATTTTTACTGGTTGTCTTTTGACTAAATCAATTGAAAATGATATAATCTGAATATATCAGAATGACACTCTTATGTCAAGGTGACAATTACTTGGCCACAAAACGTGAAGTCTACGAAACAAACTTATAGGCCGATTGCTGCAATATTTGGGATCAGCTGATGGTACCAAGAAATGCTCTTATATTTTTTCCTTCATGAGAATTTTGAGAAGTCGGGACCATTTTCCCCTGTTAATTTCCTGAAACATTACATAATTTGCGAATATACGGTATAATATTTCTTTGTATTATCTTCAAATTAATATTTACTTCAAATAATTTATTAATACGGGAAATTATAGTTACATTAATGAATATAACAAAAACTAGTAACTCTTAACAACGATAATCATATGTATCTCTTTTAAGAATGAAGGAAAAATTGATCACGTCTATTATGATATTTGTTACTGGTAGGTGATGTAAGAAGGCTTTAGGTTAAATATACCAGTGGCTTGGAAGCGCCTTAAAAAGAAATTTCTTTCTATTTCCATTATATTGACAGCGAGGAAGAGACGGATCTTGGGTGTTTCTTTCCCGCCCACTCCAGACCGTCGGTTTAGACCTCCTCGGTTTATTAAAAGCTAAAGCCAGAAATTGAACATTACACTTCGACATTTACTTTGAATTTTAGCCCCTACAAAGAAAAAATCTATATCCATACGAAATTATAAAAGTCAGTCAACTAACGGTTCTCTCCTTTGTTTTGACTCCGTTCTCTGTTTACAGCCTAGCGCTCTTATCGAATGAGATATGTGCCCCAAGGTCATCAAGCTACGAGACCGATTATATGCCAGAATTACAGCACCGTCAGTGGGAGAATGCGGTCGATCTATCGACAGAGCGCCAGGAAAAACGGAAATGAAGAAAGAGAAAATTTATTGCAAAATGCATATAACATGTCTGCTTTAGTTTTGGTACAATGACTACATGCTGTCATGTCATGTTGGCATTTCAGACGTAACAAATTACGAAGTTCAATGTTTGACTGCAAAAGAGTTCCAAAAAAGGAAGAGGGAGGCGCAGAATGCAAATCGTAAAGATCTCAGTAGAATTTCATAAAGACAAAGCAAGACCTCGCTGCCAAAGCAGAGAACGGAATCTCAAGGCGGCAGCGACAAGACGCTTTTTGTCTGGAGGACCACGATGATGATCACCAAGAGGATGCTGATATCCAAAGTGAATAAAAAGGTTTCCTAAAACCTGCCTTAGCAGGAAGTCAAACAGTTGCGTTTGCGTGAAACAGTTCGAAGGTAGCGCAGGTCCCCTAAACGGAGGAAAACGTTGTGGGGGAAGGCACAATCAAAACTGAGTTAGAAACTCAAACGAGAGCGTCAGACGCGAATCTGGGCAGAGGAGGTGGATGATCCGAGCGCCAGGCCAGAGCAGCAGGGGGGGGGGGCATTCCCGGTGTGCGGACGAACTGAAACACGTAGCCGAATGAAAGTAGTCAGTAGTCGGAACACACCAACTATTTCAGATAGTGATATTTTATGTAATCGGTGAATGTTTGGTAATCATTCCTGCTGCTTCTCATCAATATTCATCCAGCTCACGTGTTTTCTGGCGTTTGTCATATAACCTCATATATTCTGTGAGCTCTGAGCTCATAAGAATGCACTCATTCCCATGTCTTCTCAGCCACGAGCAGAAACACGTAGTGCATGAAAAGTTACGTGACCGAACAAAAGCAGTGGATAGAGGCATTGCAGTAAACAACTTACGTGTGTTGGCAATATATGCACAGTGTGCGTGTGTTCGTGTGCGCGGATCGCGAGAGGTGGCTCAGGGCATTAACTGATGCCTCTGCTGTCCCTCTGACCAGCAGGTCGTAGGTTCGAGTCCCGACGGTGGTAGGATTTTCAACACTAGCTTGTCGAAAGCTAGGTCGAATTCAGTCGAGGAGAGCTCTACGAGTAACGGTCGGGTGCTCTGATCGATAGTTGTCCGTGGTTTCTCCGATCAGCACCAGGCGAATGCAGGAGCAGTACCCTACCAAACGGACCACGGATTGCGCGCGATCTTTCCTACCTCTTGCTTGTCCTATATTCTCCCCTTACGCACACACTAAAACTCACTAAACAAGCACACTTGCAGAGAGGCCGGAACCCTAACTCTTCCCGGCTGGGACGGTGCCTTGCTGGTGGGAGATATCTGGTTGGGGAAAACCTCGCTAGACGATGGTAGGTCAGCCCCGGATTTCGCCATACAGCGAGGGAAAGATCACCGCCACCTCCCGAGGAAAAACATGGACTACGCTAACGGGACTAATAACCCCGGTTGACGTGCCTGGAATCACTAAAACAGTCAATCAATCGTGTGTGCGGTCGCGCTTCGCCTCCGCCCTAAGCCCTCCTCCCCCCCAGCGTCTTTGGGCCCTTGCAATACCACGTCGGAATACAAATCAAGTGGGCCTGTTCTACAAGGCCTGCATTCGCCGCTTCGAGTCGTCATCGACTGCTCCTCTTCGTGGCCAGAACAACTGCGCGTCGACGCTGCAGCAACATCAATAAACATAAACAAATCAATAGAATGTTTCCCGAGCGCGGTGGTTTGGTGTCAACCCTCGAGGAGGTGGCAGGCATTAATTGCAATGTTCTCTTTGGTGGCAAGGGACCGCCTTCAGCGAGAGGTCCGTAGAGTCAGTATAGCAAAGTTTTCAAAAAAATATTGAAATTAAACTCAGGTTTTGTCCCTTTTTGTTGCTAATTTCTTACGCAAAAAACTCTAGACCCTGTTGTTAAACATTTGACTGACTTGACGTCAAGTTAGAACCGCATTTGCAGAAAATTGCATTTCTGGTAATATTTAAAGGGTAACAAAATTTCGCTTAGGGGAACTATTGATCAACAAAAAGTGACAAATTCCCCTGTAATTATTTTCTATAATTTCTTGGTTTTCTTGACATTGCGGTGCTAACTTGATGCCAAGTTAGCCAAAAGTTTAACAACAGGATCAACCGAAGATCAAATTTTGTTTTTGTGAAACAATTAGCAACAAAAAGCAACACATGTTTAGATAAATTGCAATATTTTTGTAAACTTTGCTACGCTGCCTTTACGGGCTTTTCAGCGCGTTTCTACGAGACGAGCCCTCTCCACTGCAGGCGGTGCCTCAGCCTCGAGTGCATTTCATTCAAACTCACCAGCTGGCCGTATCGTGCTGATACTTCATCGAAAGATTTATGACATTTTCACTAACGCTAACATTTTTTTTGTTTTTTATTGACCTCCGTGAGACTAATCAAACTTGTTAATTTCGTTATTTCCTAGCGCGTAGCCACAGTGACGTGGAATCTGCACGGCCGTGAGGCGGGCGTCTGTCTCCGGAAGTTCTAGGGGACGAGCTTGGCTGCTTTGCTGTGGCTGCAGAAAATCGGCTTTCTCCGTCGGTATACGGGCGCTTCACCCGAATTATTTGATTTCCGAAGTGTATGATGTAAATGTCACTCGTTGGCCCTCAACTGCGCTGCGCGGACTGAAGGTGGTCTCGACTGAATCGTGGGACCGGGTCGTATACGTGGAGGGGTGCGCCTTCAAAGCCTTCACTTGTGAGGTCTGTTCAATCACGTGAGTGCTGTTTTTACATCACTATTCTGACGCGAAACTAAATTGGCGTGGTCAGTCAGCAACACGTAAAATTGTTTCGCATTTTGCAAATGGCTCATGCAGCGAACTGCAATAAAACGCCATGAGAAAAGTATAATTCAGCAAAATGGTGTTTATAAATAACTATTCTTGTGCGCAGTGTAGCTTTTCGGTCGGTAGAGAGAATACGGTGCGACGCAGCCCGGGATGGCGCCGCGCAGGGCTCGGAGAGAGCCGCCCAGAAACGCGAAAGAGGGCGGGGGAGCCGGGGGGCACAGGCAACTCACGCCCAGTTCTACCTCTCAATCCTCTGCAATGATGGATATGGAAGAGTGTTAAATAATTACAAATTAATTGGACTTTATTTGAATGGTAAAACGCCCTCATTATCTTTCAAAAAAATACCTATCTCATTCTTCACTTTATCGTTCTCTTCAAAATATTTACCAATCTGTGACAAGTCTTTTGTATTTCTCTTGCTGATCGGCGGGGAGAGTGTCTCACGGCCGTTTACTAATTATTCCTGTCATTCTGCCAACTAGAGAATGTTCGCAAGAAATCGACTTACAGTAAAACCTGCTTAATGCGGAACCTGGAGGGACCAGTATTTTTTCCGTATTAGGCAAGATTCCGCAATCTGTAAAGTAATACTGTGCACCATTCGTTTGGCAGAAACGCGATTTACTTTCACATTAGACAGAATTCCGGAATATACAACTTCGCATTGAGCACGTTGTAATGTATTTGTTAGTAGAGGGCAAAGAAAAGAACGGTTAAAACTTCCTTTTTAAGAAATATTGTTTACGCGCATAATTCTCCGAATAAAATTTATTAGCGTATTAGGAGTTTAATTGAATCGGAGAAAACAAAAACGTTCAATATCCCGGAGCTTCAAATTTTGAAGAGCAAGCGAAAAGGTTTACGTTCCGGACTTTGATCTTTTTGTTTACATTAATAGTTGAAAGGCACCCTCCAGACGTCACATAGTTCACGGACAACGAACTTTTATACATAGAAAGTTGAATTTATATTTTAAGAAGTTTCCCACCGTTAACTAAAAACCAGCAAAATGTGACTTCGAACCTTTTTGTTTCGAACGATTCGATTAAAAGCACGATGCAAGTAAAGAAGGAGTGCTGTTTGAATCTGTGCATTTCCGCCCTGTCTATTTTGATCTGTTTGACGATTCTCTTCCACACATTCGGCTGTGGTCTGCTGTGGGTCGTGGGTCGCATCTGCCACTCACCGCGCTGCTGCTGAAGTGTCTGCGTGGCCGCAGCACCACCACGGCCCACGCGGCCCCAGCGCGCAGGCTCATGTCGCTCGGCTCGGCTGGGCTCCGCTCCGCAGCAGCTGCCTCTCCTGGCGCTCTGGGGCCGCGGAGGCTCGCGCTGTTGTAGACGCGCGCCGCCCCCCTCCCGCCGCCGCCGCCGCCGCGACCGGGGCGGCGGGGGCCATGACCTTGGGCGGCGGAGGGGGAGCGTGTGGCGGCGCTCGGACGACTCCTGCTTTTATTTATTCATTTAACAACGAAAGGTTAAAAACTGTGCGACGTACTACGAGAACTGCAGTCTGTGCGTGCACGTGTCCCTACCATAACCCGTATTCTCCATATTTGATTGAATTATGTATGCAGGTAAAACTCGTTTTTGGCAAGAATTCGTATGAAAATATTCGCCACCGTGTAGGCAAATCAACCACGGTTGTATTGTACCTTATTGTATCTTACGTGAAAGAATCTGGTTTCGTGCGACCAAGACTTCATGAGAGAGCTTGTTGGCTTACCCGCAATGGTCTTTTTTTCACTGCACTTTTATTATTATTATTATTATTATTAGTAGTAGTAGTAGTAGTAGTAGTAGTAGTAGTAGTAGTAGTAGTAGTAGTAGTAGTAGTATAGTAGTAGTATAATATAGGCCATTACTGACCACGCTACACGATTAACGTGTGTAATTCTTCCAGGATCAGCTTTTCAGCTGTATCCTTGGATTAGGCGTAACAAGGTTGTTACGCCTTGAAGTGTGAATTATGAGATGAAAGGATGATGATAGGTTCAATCACAAATACACAACCATGCCCGAGGCGGGACTCGAACCCGCGATCCTTAGGTCCGAGATCACTACGGCACTACTGCCTTAGCGATCTCGGCCACCGGATCGGCCTTTTATTTTTATTTTTATTTTTATTTTTATTTTTATTTTTATTTTTATTTTTATTTTTATTTTTATTGTTGTTGTTGTTGTTGTTGTTGTTATTGTTGTTATTGTTGTTGTTTTTGTTAATGATGTATTAAAATTAAACCTATAAAACAAATCGCAAATACAAAACAATCTATCTCCCAAGTAAATAGCAAAGGTTTCGGCGGAAAACTTGTGTAATTTCACAAGGAAAGAACGGAGAGAATCTTCCAAAATATATTGTTTCTTTAAATGTTCCGTGGACATGATTAAGGAATTATTTATAATGTGATCGATTTTACAAATATCAAACGCAGAAAACTTAATTAAATATTGTAATTTGATTGAGAAAATAATTTATAGAAAATTTAACGAACACCATCAATTTTAAAACTTCTAAAAGATCATGAAAGACAATTACAATAAAAAAGCTTCTTTAGTATTAGTTTAGTTAGTTATTTCCTTTGGTGTGTCATTCAGTTTTTATTTTCACATTTATTATTGACCTTCACTTTTCTAATACATTACAAAAATAATTCGGTTTATAAATCTTACTAACATGTTAATACACTTGCAAACTGACCAGATTTGTCATAATTGTAATAAATAATAATATGGTGACTGCCATTGATGTTTACAATATATTTGATGCGGCGAGTCCAAGTTGAGTGTTCTGGCAATACAGTAAGGTGTGTATACCTTCTGCATTTGGCTCTGTCTGAAGTGTAATGGATCCCAAGAAACCTGTGTGGGGGAAGAAAGGAAGTCTGTTGATAAAATTACGGAGAGGGGACTACGAGGAATTTATTGGGAATTAATATTGATAGCTTTATATTATCTTGATCTGAATAATGTAGAATGGCAGGTGTATTTGAATCGAAATAACAGCTTCTGATGGTTATATCTGAAGAATAAAGATCAGATCAAGGTCAAGTTTAGTGTTGCAATGTTCGCATGGCGGGGGATACGTTTTGCAAGAGATTGCTTGTGTTGGAATGTCCAGATCTTATTGTTGAGTTGACTGTTTGCTCCCTGCGATCAATTTTCTTATTGACATTTGATGAGAAAATGGGATCGCAGACTGTTGCATGCTGCTGTATTTATATGTGCGCCAATTGCTGTTCCAGTGAAGGTTTAATTTGTGATGGATGTTTTTCCAGATATCTTCAAATTTATTTGTTTAGGTTGGGTAAATCTGGTTAATATTCGTAGCAGCAATTTTGTGCTCTAAGCAATTTCATTCCCTGAAATGTATTTTACACCTATCAATCATAATTTTGTTCCCCTGATTTTGTTTTATTGTAGTGAATTCAGTGAATGAAGTTCTGTATTTCCGATCTTGATATGCGGTTTATTTCTTCAACGGTTGTGAAGGAATCTGTAAATGTGATAAACTTTTCATTCTCAGAAGATTGTTTTAATATCTCTTAAGAAGAATAGCAGGAAATACAATTCTGCAGTTTTATTGAAGTTTTTGAGTGGAGAGTGTTTTAATTGTAAATCGTGCAAATAAACAGCTGACCCGACTCAGTTTTCATTTTTTGTCCCGTCAGTGTACACTTGACAGTTGTGTTTGTTATTGTATTTCTTACAGAGTTCACGCTGACGCTGACGCGAGTTCCATTCTTCAGATGTTATTTTTTTCTTTTCTGTATCGTCCGATGGTTAATAGTATGAAGGAATACTGCAGATTTTCTCTGCCACAAACATTTTTGTACTGACGTGAAAGAAGATAAGGGTCGTCCGCAGCACGTCCATTCAGAGGCGCCGTCAAGTGCGCCGCCGCCGCCGGCGCCGCCGCCGCAGCCCTCGCCCGCGATTATGCAACGCCAATTGCGAGGCCACAACCCCATCCGATAATTAGAGGCCTGAACCACGTTCAAGAGAAAAGTGATGTTACCTATGAGATGAGGTCCACAAAAGGCATTTGCTATAAAAGGGACTTTGAAACCCTACACTCCGCCTTCAAGTCATGCAAGATCACGAGGAACAACAGTATGTTCGCGGATACTTCGACTTGCCATGCGCCTGTGGCCTGTGCGAGTCAAATGGACGTCTGGGAAGACAGCCTATCGTTGCATTTCAACACAAGTTACACTGCCCAACAATGAAAATGTTTAGAACTGAAAAATATCTTACGTATATCAACCTGCTGAATTAAAGTATCATCATAAAATGACCCATTAATTCTTGCTTTCGAGATACCAGTTTCGACATTTTTGTTTTTGAGAGTTGTTACCCCTGTCAACTAACGAAACGAATGTTTTTGGCTGGTTGTGGGTTATAAACGCAATTACTATTAGTATACCCGAGAGTTTCATCTTGTTTCTGGGGGTAATTAGTGCGTGCTTTGTGGTTTTGGATTGCTTTTGAAGAGTACAACTTGTTAAATCAAAATGCCACGTAAATGGGCAAATTCAAATAATAATTTTTGTTACATCGGAGGTGAAATTATATTTTCGCCATCGATTTCATTCAGGGAAAAATAGCTATAATTAGTATTGAAGTTTTGCCATGTTAATTTTTGCAATTTTCTAAAATAAAAGAAGTTAGCCGAAAATAGTGCGTGGGTCGTTTGTTCTAGTGTCTGATGTTTTATCCGTATACATTTTAAAGAAAACTTTTGCACCTGTTTTGAGAAAATATTTTCTTTAATTTGCACACATTTTACGCGAAATTATGCTACTACACACATTTTAGAAAAAAATGTATATGATTATTTAAGCATCTGTCTCTGATGAACAGATTTACATCAGAAAAAAAACTATCTTCTGAATTGTAGGTTTTGGAACACGCCGAAAATTTTCAATTTTTGCAATTGTTGGATATTAAGAGTTTTGAACAAAAATTATACCTGCCTCCTTTTTCAGAACATTTTGAAGATATAAAGAATTTGTGAAAAGTCCTACAAAAATTAAAATACCCACTTCAAACTCAGATGACCTCTAGTTCGTCCAGAGCGATTGGGGAATATCAGTTTTGGAGAATATCAGCTGCAGGGTTTTAAGTGCAGCCCCTGTCCACATGCGGACGGCAGAGTGAGCAAACGGGCGGACGGACGGAAGGACAGTGGTTTTAGGACAGTGGTTCAATGAATTGCGTAGTTTCCTAAAACCACTGACTACGCAAGTATTAAATTTACTAAATATAAGAACAGAATTTATCAACCGTTTTCATATCAAGGCACACAATACGGCTTTTCGGTCGAAAAATTGCCAATTTTTACCACAGCATTAAAACTTCTCTCTATTCCCTACATACTACGTATCTAGTAGGAAGCCAAGAAAGGGTTTTACCTCAACGCGTTTTGCATGGCCCGATTATCATACTCCACACACCTCTGTGGTTGGAGAGTGAAGGCTTCGAAGAGCAATACATGTAGTAGTTTTAGTGACAATTTTGTATCACTCGAATTCGAAATGTAATCTGTCTGTATTGAGTACATATGGAATGCTAGAAATAATCCTAGATGAGTCGTCACTACTCGTGTTACAAACCACATCATCAATAATTTAATACCCTGTAGATTGTACATGGCTACGGCTTTATAAGGTAGAAGACCCAAATAAGGCCTTGGCCCTTCTACGGCCAAGTGGGCATTTTTTTAAAAAAGATTGCTTCAGTTAGGCGGAAGTTATCAGAACCAATCAACACATTGCCGCCAAGGCAGGTGGTGGTAGATCCGAGGTTCTCCACTAGGGCTTTTGGTTGAGAAACCGCTGCCAAGGAGCTAGTTTTGTGTTAGCTTGAATATGGACGATGAGTGGCTTGCTGTTTGCGATGCAGATTGCGTCCAGCCGAGGAGGGGAGGCGGGCGATAACCCCAGCGGGGCGTGGGCAGCCGGATCGCACCGGTCTGCTCTGCCTCCGATGGCCCCGGGGCCGAGGGGGGGGCGAGGGGGGCACGCGCAGGTCAGCGCCGACGCCGGCGCGAGCCGGACCGCTTGCCCCCGCCCCCGCCCCCGCCCCCACGGTCCAGCGGGGCCCATGGCACGAACCACGCGGCGAGCACGAGTATTATGTAAAAGACCGCAAAATCTAACCTCACAGAGCATCGAGAAATAGAGACGAACCCGTCGAAACGGGTACCCGGACATTCCCGAGGACTCGGCGCGCTAGGAAGCTTTGGATTTTATTGTCAGAGTTGCCGTATTAATGGCAGCCGTCATAGTTGCAGTAATGTCTTAGTCTTCAATGTTGTTTGAGAGGATCTCTGCCACTCTTTTAGGACTTGCATCACACGTG